CTGGGGGCAGAAGACCCTAAGGGTGGGGGGTGGGGGCTGAAGACCCTAAGGGTGGGTGTTGGGGGCAGAAGACAAGGCCTATTCTCATAGCACTCCCAAAAATATTAAACTATCATTCCTCCCGACAATTTTCCCACATTCCATCTTGTTTAATCATTTCCACGTTGTAACTGTCTCTTAGTCCCTTAAGGTGTGATCAGTTATAATTTCTTGGCTGTGTTTGTGTTTATGATGAGGGTATCTGTGTGATCAGCTGTTATGACCCAGGGACTAAGTTTTGGCCGTGCCAGTCAGCCTGACCAGGTGAGTTAACAAGGAGGGACAGACATCACACTAAATAAAATTCAATTTGAAATTAATAGAATCAAAGCTGCTGATTTTGCTCATCAACATTTCCCAGTACTTCTGTACATTCACTTACACATAACTTATCATTGTATCAAAAGGGAAATACAGGCAGCTGATGCAGCTCAGTGTGTCTAAATGGCCTTAACCCAAGTCTACAATTTACAGGTAAATGTATGTACAGGTACGTTCTGCAGCTTGGTACAGTGTAACATTCTGATCCAGGCTTCTCGTCAACAGGTGATACACGCCCAGCATATATAGCAGTCCAGTATAACAGTAGTATTGATGTATACACTCTCCCAATCACTGACTACTGCAGTAGGTAATTAAACATTAATTAGATTGTACTTCACTACCAATATCGATCAATTTCTGTTCTATAAGGTAAAGAGGTAGTTCTATCGATCTATGAGTATAGCCCCTACACAACCATTACACATTCCAAACATTGACACACAACTGTAACACAAAGTATGCATTGTGTAGTTTCTATCAAATAGGTATTGATTATTTACTACAACTGAAATCATCCGATTTCATTTGAAGTAAATGTATGTGTTTGTTTATAGTGCTCTTTGATAAACAATATAACACACTGAACCATAGGCCCTGATCAGTCTGGTCAACGTCTGGTTATTACACAGCCGAATCTCATCACACATACAACAACACAGCCGAATCTCATCACACATACAACAACACAGCCGAATCTCATCACACATACAACAACACAGCCGAATCTCATCACACAACAAACAAACATTAGAGTCAGGTCCTTTTCTGTTTTTCTGTAGTTGGGTCTGGTTAGCAATTAAGGTTCCACAGTGTATTTCAAACAAAATTTAAATTGTCAATTATACAGATTTCTTCATGTTCCTTCTATTCTGTGTGAAGCTTGATGACAGTGGTTCAATATCGTCACTCAAATATTATTTAAATTAATCAATTCCTAACTGATAATAGGTGTCCGATTATGTAGCTGCAAATTTATTGCTTTTATAAAACCATAACAGATTTAAAGCTCTACACATCGATAGTCGAGAACAATCACCCACCAGAGTCAAAACTACACATTACCAGCTTTAAGTACAGTAATCACATACTGCATGCTAACCTGTTCTTTTAACTGACTGTAAACACAAATCTCCCACGGCTTAAATAATGAACCAATCTAATGAACATGCTGAATAGGAGGGAAAGGTTCTCTACATGTCTATTTAGATAATCATCTGCCACTTTATGTAATCTTACATCCTTTTTACAATCAGTGACAAAAGCCTGATTGTCCTTCATCAGTCAGTGACAAAGGTCTGATAGCCCTTCATCAGTCAGTGACAAAGGTCTGATAGCCCTTCATCAGTCAGTAACAAAGGTCTGATAGCCCTTCATCAGTCAGTGACAAAGGTCTAATAGCCCTTCATCAGTCAGTGACAAAAGCCTGATGGTCCTTCATCAGTCAGTGACAAAGGTCTGATAGCCCTTCATCAGTCAGAAACCAAGGTCTGATGGTCCTTCATCAGTCAGTAACAAAGGTCTGTAGCCCTTCATTAGTCAGTAACAAAGGTCTGATAGCCCTTCATCAGTCAGTGACAAAGGTCTGATAGCCCTTCATCAGTCAGTAACAAAGGTCTGTAGCCCTTCATTAGTCAGTAACAAAGGTCTGATGGTCCTTCATCAGTCAGTAACAAAGGTATGTAGCCCTTCATCAGTCAGTAACAAAGGTCTGATAGCCCTTCAGCAGTCAGTAACAAAGGTCTGATGATCCTTCATCAGTCAGTAACAAATGTCTGATAGCCCTTCATCAGTTAGTAACAAAGGTCTGATAGCCCTTCCCCAGTCAGTAACAAAGGTCTCATAGCCCTTCATCAGTCAGTGACAAAGGTAGGATAGCCCTTCATCAGTCAGGAACAAAGGTCTGATGGTTCTTCATCAGTCAGTAACAAAGGTCTGATGGTCCTTCATCAGTCAGTGTCTGAGGCGTGATGTTCCTTCATCAGTCAGTGTCAAAGGTCTGATAGCCCTTCATCAGTCAGTAACAAAGGTCTGATGGTCCTTCATCAGTCAGTAACTGAGGCGTGATGGTCCTTCATCAGTCAGTAACTGAGGCGTGATGGCCCTTCTTCAATTGGTATCAAAGGTCTGATGGTCTTTCATCAGCCAGTGACAAAGGTCTGATGGGCCTTCATCAGTCAGTGACAAAGGTTTGATAGCCCTTCATCAGTCAGTGACAAAGGTCTGATGGTCCTTCATCAGCCAGTGACTGAGGCATTATGGTCCTTCATCAATTAGTGAGAAAGGCCTCATAGCCCTTCATCAGTCAGTAACAAAGGCCTGATAGCCCTTTCATCAATCATTGAGAAAGTTATGCCATGGGCAAGGATTTCAATTAATGTGCAGTCAACCATGAACAGTAGTCGAGTGATCTAGTTTTTGTATGCGGCCATCTTGGATTTGGCAGCCATCTTGATTTAATTTTTTTTATTGGCCCCATATCCAAAATTGATCGGTATATCATTCACTATATGCATGCCAATTGTTATGCTTCTACTATAAAACCCACAATTCTTCTGATTTCTGCACCAATCTGCCGGACTAACTGTTATCTCAAGTTGTTCCAAAATATGAAGTGTGATGGTAGTTCATCAATAAGTCTTCAAGCTGTGGCAACATCAGAACACACAAAAGGAACCATGTGGCTTGTCGGACATACAGCAATACCACAATATGACTCGTCAATGACAGGCATATACAAAATGTTTAAATAAAAATATCATTACAAAGATGGAAAGCTACATAGGGTACTTGTCACTGAAATCTACTATTTACTCTAAAATCAGTTGTCCGGAGAAAATCTTTACAAAAAAGGGCATCACTCTCCAAAAACGGGTCAAAACAAACTAACAAGACACTACTTTTTTGCATCAAAAATAAAACAAGTTGCACAACGTTAATTGTTAAACATCACGTGTGGAAAGTTCAATTGTAATCAGTCCTGTATTGTAAAGAAGATCTACAAACAAGAAGTTGTGCACAGACAGACAGACAGACAAAGTTGTGGACAGATGGACAATCAGTGATTTCTATACTCATAAGTAAGTATGCAAGTGACAATACTACCTCAGGAAGTCATTTGTTATCCCTAATTATATAATAACACGAGAATGCTGTCATGAACATCTCAAAAGACTATAATTTCATGAAAGAAACCTGCAGGTATACTTCATCAGAAGGATGTCATAGGGTTAAAGGTTACAGAACATTTGCACAATCATTCTGGTTGCACTCAAATCAATAAATGAACAGTCTGTATTCACTACTAAATCAACAGTATCGGCAGTTATATCAACTGGTGTCGGCACACCAATGAATCGTCAAATTTGGTGACAGTCACAAATTCTAGAGTCACACAGTACTTCCCATCTCATGAAGAATGATCGTTTGGTAGGTTTCGTATTGGTAACAAAATTTTGTCAAATGTGATCATTTAGCCTAGTCTTCAGGGTCAGTAATGGGCGGTTGCTGGTCGCATTAGACAGTCATGGTCACGCAATACAGTTAACTAGTAAAAATGTTCCAAAGGAATGAAACTGATGGTCATTTAATACGGACGGTGGCGTGAGCAGATCTGACTGTACTTAATTCTATTTAAAATTGTAACTAAAATGTTCAACTTTAAAGTTTCAACATATTCCATCTTCTACCAGTAAAACATATAAATACCTCATTCAGATATTTCCTTTATATTGTATAGAAGATATTTAGTGCCAAATACATCCAATATTAAGGTTCACAATTCAAAATCTGTCTATATCACTGATGGATAAGGCAAGTAGTAATCTTTATTTACAAAGTCATAAAAGTATACCCCAATCATTTCATGGACATCAATAAAAAGATCAACAGCCTTTTATGGCGGGTATCACACACCTGTAGAACTTCCAAAGGTTCCTTACAATGTTGATTTCAAGATCGAGTGGTGTACAGATTTAAAATTCAGAGGCAATATCTGACATTTTCAAGTAGTAGGTAATGGTACGTATGTCTGTATATATCCTGACCTTATACACACCGATCATTATTTCATTGCCACGATGATCTGGGTTACTTGATCACAGTTTTAATGAATCTCTTTGTTGGTTCCGAAGTGATTTCTATACAATTTTATGGCACAGATGTACATGTGGTTTAAACTACCACAAAAGTCTACGACAGAATATAAGGAATAAATAACCCACATACACATACCAGGAAGTGTGTTTACATTCATTTTTTTCTGAAATTTGCTTAACAGTCTTAAAATCTATTTTGAAATAATTTCTAAAAATAGCAATTCTATGTGTTCCCTGAAATACTAAACCAATACTGTGATTGATAAATAATTTAATCAGTGATAAAATGTAATGAACAGTCTATTCTCAGTTAGCAATTCCTAGCCATAGATGTACTATCCATAGGACTACATGTAGACTGGTACAATTTTGAATCCTCAACCACCGAAGAATGCTCCAAACCCAATAGGATTGATATTATCCCTTTTTGACCACATACAAAAGGTGTTGTGATTATCTACGGTCAAAGTGAAGTTACATTGAGATCATTTTAGGATGTGTCACACTGCCTTCCCATGACGTATATATATATATATACAAAGTGTGAAGCCCCTTCATGGAACAGCTGCTGAGATATGCTCCAGAAACCATTATTATTATTTCAGTACTTGAGGTAAAGGTCAAAGGTCAAATAGAGGTCACAGTGACCTTGTTTTAAGATGAAACACACAACAGTACCCCTCCCACGATGAACCTATACACAAAATTTGATGCCCGTTCATGAAACAGTGGCCAAGATAAATGATTCAGAAACAAGTCAGCCAGACACACAAAAGAATAGTCCATACCCCAAACGTTGTCAAAGTGGAGATATAAACACAGTGATAACTTAACTTTGACCGTCAAAATCAAAAATGGTGATCTAGCAGCCATCTTGTTCTTTCAATCAGTCTCTTAATGAAACATGCACAAATAAGGAACAAGTGGAACCAAGAAATGAAATTTTACAAAGATTTGTTAAGTAATTCCAGAGAAATATCACTTACTTGCTAGCTGCTGTATCTGCATCTGTATGCCCTTGCCCCCCTGACCTATCCGGGGTGTGGTCTGTCCCGAGCCAGGGGCGTCTCGGGGTGACATTCCTCCTATAGAGGATAGTGACCCGGAGTTCCTCCTCTCTGCCATCTTGGTATTTACAAGTTTACGGGTGTGTTATATACACCACTACCTTCCTACTTTCTTTGACATGATGGCAGTCATTCCTAGGCTGGTTCTACATGTTATCTGTGGACATAAAGTAGCAACAAATGTCAGGATCATACAAATACCTCAGGATCATACAAATACATCAGGATCATACAAATACCTCAGGCTCATACAAATACCTCAGGACCATACAAATACCTCAGGATCATACAAATACATCAGGATCATACAAATACCTCAGGATCATACAAATACATCAGGAACATACAAATACCTCAGGCTCATACAAATACCTCAGGATCATACAAATACCTCAGGATCATACAAATACCTCAGGATCATACAAATACCTCAGGATCATACATAAATTAAGATAAAGGATCATACAAATACCTCATACATAAATTAAGATAAAGGATCATACAAATACCTCATACATAAATTAAGATAAAGGATCATACAAATACCTCATACATAAATTAAGATAAAGGATCATACAAATACCTCATACATAAATTAAGATAAAGGATCATACAAATACCTCATACATAAATTAAGATAAAGGATCATACAAATACCTCATACATAAATTAAGATAAAGGATCATACAAATACCTCATACATAAATTAAGATAAAGGATCATACAAATACCTTATACATAAATTAAGATAAAACTTGTTCAATAGCATTTGCAATTTAATTTGATATATCACAATTTAGTTGATTTCTATCACAGAACTGGACCGTAATTCAATAAGAACATTTTTCAACTGATATGGAAGAAAACTACCACTTCTTAAATAACAGTATTGCAAACTATGCCGATATAAAATAGATCTATAATATCAGGTATGCTGATAACTGAGTCATATAAGGTATATAGTGTGATGGTATAACATAAATATATCAGGTACTATATACTGTGTGGTTATCATTATTTAACATCAGGTATACTGATTACTGAGTCATATAAGGTATATAGTGTGATGGTATAACATAAATATATCAGGTACTATATACCGTGTGGTTATCATTATATAACATCAGGTATACTGATTACTGAGTCATATAAGGTATATACTGTGATGATATAACATAAATATATCAGGTACTATATACTGTGTGGTTATCATTATATAACATCAGGTATACTGATTAATGAGTCATATAAGGTATATACTGTGATGGTATAACATAAATATATCAGGTACTATATATTGTGTGGTTATCATTATATAATATCAGGTATACTGATTACTGAGTCATCTAAGGTATATACTGTGAATGATGGTATAAAATAAATATATCAGGTACTATATACCGTGTGGATATCATTATATAACATCAGGTATACTGATTACTGAGTCACATAAGGTATATACTGTGATGATATAACATAAATATATCAGGGACTATATACTGTGTGGTTATCATTATATAATATCAGGTATACTGATTACTGAGTCATATAAGGTATATACTGTGATGATATAACATAAATATATCAGGTACTATATACTGTGTGGTTATCATTATATAATATCAGGTATACTGTGTATATCTTTATAATTATATAATATCAGGTAAACTGTGTATATCTATATAATTATATAATATCAGGTAAACTGTGTATATCTATATAATTATAAAATATCAGGTAAACTGTGTATATCTATATAATTATATAATATCAGGTAAACCGTGTATATCTATATAATTATATAATATCAGGTATACTCTGTATATACAAGGTGAATCCCTTGTATAACAGTAAGGTTTCTGATGTAATCAGTGTTAGTTTTAGGTTCTTATACAAGTTACAGTGTTAAAGTACATCCCTATATGGGGTGTCATTATCACTGTACACAGGTACATACATCCCTATATGGGGTGTCATTATCACTGTACACAGGTACATACATCCCTATATGGGGGTGTCATTATCACTGTACACAGGTACATACATCCCTATATGGGGGTGTCACTATCACTGTACACAGGTACATACATCCCTATATGGGGTGTCACTATCACTGTACACAGGTACATACATCCCTATATGGGGTGTCACTATCACTGTACACAGGTACATACATCCCTATATGGGGTGTCACTATCACTGTACACAGGTACATACATCCCTATATGGGGTGTCACTATCACTGTACACAGGTACATACATCCCTATATGGGGTGTCACTATCACTGTACACAGGTACATACATCCCTATATGGGGTGTCACTATCACTGTACACAGGTACATACATCCCTATATGGGGTGTCACTATCACTGTACACAGGTACATACATCCCTATATGGGGTGTCACTATCACTGTACACAGGTACATACATCCCTATATGGGGTGTCACTATCACTGTACACAGGTACATACATCCCTATATGGGGTGTCACTATCACTGTACACAGGTACATACATCCCTATATGGGGTGTCACTATCACTGTACACAGGTACATACATCCCTATATGGGGTGTCACTATCACTGTACACAGGTACATACATCCCTATATGGGGTGTCACTATCACTGTACACAGGTACATACATCCCTATATGGGGTGTCACTATCACTGTACACAGGTACATACATCCCTATATGGGGTGTCACTATCACTGTACACAGGTACATACATCCCTATATGGGGTGTCACTATCACTGTACACAGGTACATACATCCCTATATGGGGTGTCACTATCACTGTACACAGGTACATACATCCCTATATGGGGTGTCACTATCACTGTACACAGGTACATACATCCCTATATGGGGTGTCACTATCACTGTACACAGGTACATACATCCCTATATGGGGTGTCACTATCACTGTACACAGGTACATACATCCCTATATGGGGTGTCACTATCACTGTACACAGGTACATACATCCCTATATGGGGTGTCACTATCACTGTACACAGGTACATACATCCCTATATGGGGTGTCACTATCACTGTACACAGGTACATACATCCCTATATGGGGTGTCACTATCACTGTACACAGGTACATACATCCCTATATGGGGTGTCACTATCACTGTACACAGGTACATACATCCCTATATGGGGTGTCACTATCACTGTACACAGGTACATACATCCCTATATGGGGTGTCACTATCACTGTACACAGGTACATACATCCCTATATGGGGTGTCACTATCACTGTACACAGGTACATACATCCCTATATGGGGTGTCACTATCACTGTACACAGGTACATACATCCCTATATGGGGTGTCACTATCACTGTACACAGGTACATACATCCCTATATGGGGTGTCACTATCACTGTACACAGGTACATACATCCCTATATGGGGTGTCACTATCACTGTACACAGGTACATACATCCCTATATGGGGTGTCACTATCACTGTACACAGGTACATACATCCCTATATGGGGTGTCACTATCACTGTACACAGGTACATACATCCCTATATGGGGTGTCACTATCACTGTACACAGGTACATACATCCCTATATGGGGTGTCACTATCACTGTACACAGGTACATACATCCCTATATGGGGTGTCACTATCACTGTACACAGGTACATACATCCCTATATGGGGTGTCACTATCACTGTACACAGGTACATACATCCCTATATGGGGTGTCACTATCACTGTACACAGGTACATACATCCCTATATGGGGTGTCACTATCACTGTACACAGGTACATACATCCCTATATGGGGTGTCACTATCACTGTACACAGGTACATACATCCCTATATGGGGTGTCACTATCACTGTACACAGGTACATACATCCCTATATAGGGTGTCATTTTCACTGTACACATCCTTACAGTATACGTCACACACAAATATTACATCAAGAATTTCTAGTCATGTAATTTAAACCCCGATTCAATTACATGGGATATAAGAAATGATGTGTGCACACTCAGCAGGGCAAGTTCTTGCATGGCCATACTGATATTGTTTCTTGGCCATACTGATATTGTTTCTTGGCCATGCTGATATTGTTTCTTGGCCATGCTGATATTGTTTTAAAGCTGTCTCCAACTTCCAATAACTGAGTTTGGTATTTTTACTCCACTGTGTAACATATTTGTGTATTGAACTTGTTCAGGTAGAACAAGTTAATACATACCGATATATACCTATTGTTATTTACAGCCACAGTTTTTGTCATGTTACCCTAAAATATCATCCCATTGAGGAGAAATAAAGGCAAATACAATACATACCCCTGCAAACCTCTGAAGCACAGCGCCACAGAATGAGACAAAACTACCAGACAGGCCGAGCTTACATGCTAGCTAATTTTTAACAAATATTGGTGTAGCGTATGGTTAAGAGGATAAAACGGATGATCCCTTAGCTATTGTGGTCAGAAAACCTGACAATCCCAAGTATGTATAAAAGCGTCACCTGTATGTGGTCTACTTTGATGAATACATTTAAAAGATAACTTGTCAAAATACCAGCACACACCTGTATATCACACAGGTCACCCAAGCTCTGCATATTCCCCAAACTATGTCTAGACTATAACATATCCACATACCTTACATGAACACAGGGTATGAACACAGGGTATGAATACAGGTGTACAAAGTTTTAAAGTGAAAGTGTGTCCTGTTACCGAGGAAGTTGAACACACCTTTACTGGTAATAGCTAATGTATATCAAAATTCATGTAAACATATCAATTACAAATTATATCCATGCACCCGTACAAATAAATGCCTATACAACAAATAATTATGCTAAAATTGCAGTCATGCTATCACTTAAATGCAGATTGAATCACATATGTGATGGAATTTATCGTCAATATCTCTACAAACCGTGTAATGTTTCACATTGGAGAAAATGTTCATCCAAAATCTGATAATCAACCACGAAAAAATATATACATACATAAACAGCTCTGTGATATACACACACATAGAATCCTGACACTGACCTGTATTGGCTATTAACCAGGTCCCAGTATTAACTTGTAACACATATATACCTGAGTTTGAAGCCATTAACCGACACACCAATGTTTATACAGCCATGGAATATCTCCTTCTGTTCAATATAAGTCCCAAATACAAATTAATACTCCTTCTCAGTACTGTAAGTAATTTAGTGGCTGGTCTAACTTAAAGTCAGTGGCACTACACAAATGCCAGAGGTTAGATGAGGAACATGTCCCAACGTGTCGTCTATACACTATACACCATACGCTGTATTACCCGCAAAATTAAAGGGAAATTTAAACCTGACTGATTTATCAAATGTCACATGAAATGATAAAGAAAAATACCTGAACTTAGGTAACAAAATATTGACGTACCTGGAGGTCAAATTACACTGAGTTTCAGTTCCACCTTTTTGGTTTGAACAAGTTGTTCTGTAGGTACAATACCTAGAACTCCAAGGTATGGCAACCCCACCTTCTGACGGTTTAAAGTGAAAGGCGTACACACCTTACCTATAATATAGATATCAGTGAAACTGCATGCTTCAAGTGTTTATTTAGACAACTTTCACTACAACATGCTTACTTAAATGATTGTAATGAATGAGTAGCTATTTGGGTAAGTTGGCTGCCCTCCAAGACATTGGAGCTTTCTACACTTCCAAAAATGTTTTTTCACCTATTTCATTTCATTTAAAACACATATAAGTAGATTATTTACTCAAATGAAATGGCCTGATCAGATCCTTAAGCTAGAAGTGATCATGATCACAGCATCAATTGTGAATTGCTACTAGGGTTGGTTTGCAAAAGATCAGTCAGCTTGACCAAATGCAAATGAAAATTAAACAGGATTTTTTTTATTCTTTCCATTTTGATCTTTCCTCAGCGCTATGAAAGAGGTACATGAAAATAAAAGGAAAAATTAATGGGAATACATGTATATAATTTTTAAAAAATCTTGCAGTTCTTGCAAAATTGAATTTATACTTAGTATGATAACATGCAATAATTGTTATGGTTTGTATCCCAACATTTATATAACCTTGAGTCCTCTTAGCCCAAGGATGCTCTACAACAAATGTGGTTCAAGTTTCCCAATATATACGGAAGGAGACAGATTTTATAAATTTACTCTTTATTTTCCCAATTGGACCATGGCCTTTTGCCCAAGAATTAAGAGCTTAAAAGCCTTCTTTTGTATAAAGTTGAGTAGCCTCTGTGCAAGGATGTTCTAGAGCAAAATTAGACTAAATACTTTATTCCTACAAAGGAAGCATTTCAAAGATATACCTCTATTTTCCCTATTGGGTTTTGCTCTTCTACCTACAAAGGGTAACACCCTCCGTTAAACAAATCAACGGAAATAAAGTGACTGTTTGCAAACAGAAGCTTGCTTCGTATTTTGAAGTACAGTGAGTATACTATAAATTGTGATGATTATTGTTAATGGTCAATATTATAGCACTAATCTGACCTTTGATCTTTATAGGGACACCATACACAGGAGATCTATATAAAGACATCATACACAGGAGATCTATATAGGGACATCATACACAGGAGATCTATATATAGACATCATACACAGGAGATCTTAATATAGACATCATACACAGGAGATCTTTATATAGACATCATACACAGGAGATCTATATAGGGACATCATACACAGGAGATCTTTATAGGGACATCATACACAGGAGATCTTTATAGGGACATCATACACAGGAGATCTATATAGGGACACCATACACAGATGATCTTTATAGGGACACCATACACAGGAGATCTATATAGAGACACCATACACAGGAGATCTATATAGGGACATCATACACAGGAGATCTATATAGGGACACCATACACAGGAGATCTATATAGGGACACCATACACAGATGATCTTTATAGGGACACCATACACAGGAGATCTATAAAGGGACATCATACACAGGAGATCTTTATATAGACATCATACACAGGAGATCTATATAGGGACCCCATACAGAGGAGATCTATATAGAGACATCATATACAGGAGATCTATATAGACATCATACACATGAGATCTATATAAAGACATCATACACAGGAGATCTTTATAGGGACATCATACACAGGAGATCTATAAAGGGACCTCATACACAGGAGATCTATATAGGGACATCATACACAGGAGATCTATTTAGGGACATCATACACAGGAGATCTATATAGGGACACCATACACAGATGATCTTTATAGGGACACCATACACAGGAGATCTATAAAGGGACATCATACACAGGAGATCTTTATATAGACATCATACACAGGAGATCTATATAGGGACCCCATACAGAGGAGATCTATATAGAGACATCATATACACGAGATCTATATAGACATCATACACATGAGATCTATATAAAGACATCATACACAGGAGATCTATATATAGACATCATACACAGGAGATCTTTATAGGGACATCATACACAGGAGATCTATATAGGGACACCATACAGAGGAGATCTATATAGAGACATCATATACACGAGATCTATATAGACATCATACACATGAGATCTATATAGCGACACCATACCCAGGAGATCTTTATAGGGACACCATACACAGGAGACCTATAAAGGGACATCATACACAGGAGATCTTTATATCGACATCATACACAGGAGATCTATATAGGGACACCATACAGAGGAGATCTATATAGAGACATCATATACACGAGATCTATATAGACATCATACACATGAGATCTATATAGCGACACCATACCCAGGAGATCTTTATAGGGACACCATACACAGGAGATCTATATAAAGACATCATACACAGGAGATCTTTATAGGGACATCATACACAGGAGATCTATAAAGGGACCTCATACACAGGAGATCTATATAGGGACATCATACACAGATGATCTTTATAGGGACACCATACACAGGAGATCTATATAGGGACACCATACACAGATGATCTATATAGGGACACCATACACAGGAGATCTATATAGGGACACCATACACAGATGATCTTTATAGGGACACCATACACAGGAGATCTATAAAGGGACATCATACACAGGAGATCTTTATATAGACATCATACACAGGAGATCTATATAGGGACACCATACAGAGGAGATCTATATAGAGACATCATATACAGGAGATCTATATAGACATCATACACATGAGATCTATATAAAGACATCATACACAGGAGATCTTTATATAGCCATCATACACAGGAGATCTTTATGTAGACATCATACACGGGATACACAGGAGATCTTTATAGGGACACCATCCACAGGAGATCTTTAAAGGGACATCATACACAGGAGATCTATATATAGACATCATACACAGGAGATCTATATAAAGACGTCATACACAGGAAATCTATATAGGGACATCATACACATGAGACCTCTATATAGACATCATACACAGGAGAGCTTTATAGGGACTCCATACACAGGAGATCTATATAGACACCATAGACAGGAGATCTATATAGGGACATAATACACAGGAGATCTTTATAGGGACATCATTCACAGGAGATCTATATAGGGACATCACACACAGGAGATCTATATAGGGACATAATACACAGGAGATCTTTATAGGGACATCATACACATGTGATCTATATAGGGACACCATACACAGGAGATCTTTATAGGGACACAATACACAGGAGATCTATATAGGGATATCATACACAGGAGATCTTTATATAGCCATCATACACAGGAGATCTTTATATAGCCATCATACACAGGAGATCTTTATGTAGACATCATACACGGGAGATCTTTATAGGGACACCATACATAGGAGATCTATATAGGGACATCATAGACATCATACACAGGAGATCTATATCGGGACATCATACACAGGAGATCTATATCGGGACATCATACACAGGAGATCTACATCATACACAGGAGATCTTTATAGGGACATCATACACATGGGATCTATATAGGGACACCATACAAAGGAGATCTATATAGAGACATCACACACAGGAGATCTATATAGGGACATAATACACAGGAGATCTTTATAGGGATATCATACACAGGAGATCTTTATATACACATCATACACAGGAGATCTTTATATAGCCATCATACACAGGAGATCTTTATATAGCCATCATACACAGGAGATCTTTATATACACATCATACACAGGAGATCTTTATGTAGACATCATACACGGGATACACAGGAGATCTTTATAGGGACACAATACACAGGAGATCTATATAGGGATATCATACACAGGAGATCTTTATATACACATCATACACAGGAGATCTTTATATAGCCATCATACACAGGAGATCTTTATGTAGACATCATACACGGGATACACAGGAGATCTTTATAGGGACATCATACACATAAGATCTATATAGGGACACCACACACAGGAGATCTATATAAAGACGTCATACACAGGAAATCTATATAGGGACATCATACACAGGTGATATATATAGACATCATAGACAGGAGATCTATATAGGGACATAATACACAGGAGATCTTTATAGGGACACAATACACAGGAGATCTATATAGGGATATCATACACAGGAGATCTTTATAGGGATATCATACACAGGAGATCTATATATAGACATCATACACAGGAGAGCTTTATAGGGACTCCATACACAGGAGATCTATATAGACACCATAGACAGGAGATCTATATAGGGACATCTTGCACAGGAGATCTATATAGGGACATATATAAAGACATCATACACAGGATATCTTTATAGGGACATCATACACATGAGATCTATATAGCGACACCATACCCAGGAGATCTTTATAGGGACACCATACACATGAGATCTATATAGGGACGCCATACACAGGAGATCTATATAAAGACGTCATACACAGGAAATCTATATAGGGACATCATACACAGGCGATCTATATAGACATCATAGACAGGAGATCTATATAGGGACATCATAAACAGGAGATCTATATAGGGACATAATACACAGGAGATCTTTATAGGGACATCATACACATGAGATCTATATAGCGACACCATACCCAGGAGATCTTTATAGGGACACCATCCACAGGAGATCTATATAGGGACAGCATACACAGGAGATCTATATAGGGATATCATACACAGGAGATC